AAAACACGAAGAAACTCAAAAAGATAAAAATAAAGGAAAGGGTGTGCAAACCGAAATGCCTCGAGGAGAGTAAGTATCTACGTGTAAACAGCTCGCCTATGCTCAGCCCCGTGAATTCATACCTGCCAATAAGAAAATCACGAAAGTCCAAACTCCCATTATTCCAGGATAAAACTAAAAAGCAAAAAGAAAAATATCTAAGAAAGCAGTAAATCACTTGGGTTGCCTCCCAAGAAGCGCTTGTTTTACGTCATTAGCTTGACAAACCCGAAGAGAACTCATCCAGGGTCCAGAAAGAAGTGACGGTCGTGCCATGCCTTTGTGTTTTCTAGAAGTGGTAGCATGGGAAGTTGGGCGAGAAGGCTGGCACAGTGGATCCGAATGGCAATGCTCTGGGCGAAGCGGGTTCGGGCACGAGCAATACCCAACTCTAGACGTAGAGCTTTTCCCACTCGAGCTCTATCGTCTTCCTCCGAAAATATAAGCTCATCAGTGGAGCAAGTCGAACTGAATCCTTCCAACTTTGTAACACAGTGTAAGGGCCTCGAAGACGGGTGCTCTAATTCGGAGGTGGGAGGTGGGACTTGAGAATCAAGCCCATGGATCTCCTCCTCTGAAATATCATCAATGTCTCGCTGGAGATCATCATCTTCTTCTTCGGCCTCACACATTTGCTTCATCGTGCGGGCTTGAGTATCAAGCATGAGGTGGGGGTAGTCGACTTTTGCCTCGACTGAGCTGGTATGTGCTGCAAGAATCTCCATTTGTGTGCTCAGTCGAGCACACCCCAGCTCAATCTCCATATCTCGAGTGGATTGGGCAGATATGCGAGCAAGGATGAGGTCGAGCTTCTCATCGAATGACAAAGTAGCCTCCCGAGGCTCGTCTCTATGTGTAGGTTTGCCTTGAGCGGTGGGCTCGGGAGTGACATTGGTAACTCGGTCCTCTAAGGCTTGCACGCGCTCCACTAGGTTCTCGATCCTGGACTCAAGATTGCTCTTACAGGCTGCTTGGGATGCCAAAAGAGTGAGGACCTGGTCGAGTTTGGTGTTATATTCTGAGGAATCCTCGAGGGACTCACATGACTGCTCAACAGGCCTGGACTCCCACTGCTGCTCGTAAGGATACGACCAAATCAGGCCATTGTCCCAAGAATCATAGAATGGAGGTGGCTGGTTCAATTGGGCACACCGGGTTGTTGTCTCTTCTTCCTGAGCTAACCGGGATATTGCGAAATCATAGATACGGTCGAGCTTCTCGTTGAACGCATGAGACTCATAATATTGCTCGACTGGGAGGGGGTCCCAGTACTTCTCGGAAGAATAGGGATAAGACTGGATGTTGTACCCGGTGTGGTAGCTCGGCTCGTTAACCCAAGAGGGGTAGTGCAAGGGGGAGTACACGTGATTGAAGTTCATTGAACCTGCACACCAAAACAGAAAAAACCACGCGAAGCCACGAAAAAGAGAAAAACAAAGAAGACGAAAAGAAAAACAAATATGCACAAAAAAAAGAACAAAAATAAGAAAAACACAAAATAAAGAGAAACACGGAAAATAAAATCAATACCAAAACCAAATATCCTACTTGCCTTCCCCGGCAACGGCGCCAAATTTGTTGTAGCACAAATTATTATTTTTTACCGAGTAACAAATTGAAAGATTCGTTTCCCGGGTCGATCTCACGAGGAAGGCTGTTCGGAATTTAA